CTAACTCTGCTTTGAATGAAGCAGATGAAGGACTTAAACGTAGATTTGGTTCAGGTTGGAAAACACTGGGCAGCTCCTGTCCTGTGTTTTACCTTTTATGAACTTTGCATGTTTCCTATATGAGAAGTTCCCAGCACTTCTCCGCACTCTCAACAGTGGATCTATGATGACGATTGTTCGAATAAAGTTTATTTAATTATGTAAGCATTAGCACAGCTGATCTGTAGCACACTACAAAACTGTGTGTTCTGTAGAAGGAGCTGTTGCCCATTTTTTACCTATCTATCGGAGGAATAAGGAGTGATACCCAGTATAACATTAGTCATGAATCTGCCCAAACGCCCAGGCCTACCCTGGCTTGCCTCAGCTCCAAACTTCACGTCTACCCAGTTGCATAGACGCAACAGGGAACTACCTGCCGTGAACTGTCATGCAAGTCTCCCTGCTCAGCTCCTGCAAATCTGCTCCAAACCAGCACTCAGAACAATGTCGTAATCAGTCTTTAGCGGGGCAGAAGAAAACATGGCATCTTTTGTGACTCACGTGATGAGTTCCTTTTTGAGATCTCTTGAATGGAGCTTGGGTTTAGGGCTTGGTATGGAGACATCTCCTGGATACTTCTTTTCTTCCATGTTTTCTGGAGAGCTCACTGGATCTTTCTGAAATATTAGGTGAGAATGTGACAGAAGGAAGGTTTCTCTCTTCAAGGTCTCCCACATATACAACAAATAACTTGCTCTGGCAAGAAGAGAATCTCTTGGGAAACATTAAAAAAGAAGTCTTAAGAAATAATGGAGAGAGATGAAGAAAGTTTAGTACATCATAATTTCAGGATCTCATAGGTAGACTTTTAAAAATGTTGAACTGTATAATTGTGAAAGTATTTCTGAAGGTGGATGCTGTTTTAAGCTGCACATAGGGAAAATTTGGTTTAGATTTATAAAATGGTGATAAAAACCAAAGAAAAATACACAGAGAAAATAAAAGCAGTTGTTGAATATATAGAGCCAAACAAGACTTCAGCAAGTATGTTCTTGTTTTTTCTGTGAAGGTACAGTTTTGTATACAGTTGAAGTGAGTACCGTTGTACTGTGAATTACAAAATTACAATCATAAATTAAAAAAAACCTATTGTACATAAACATATGTAAATGCAAAGCTTTTTAGAACTGAATGACACCTTATTCAAAGAGCACATTCTTGCTAAAATAAAAAATCATAAGAACAAAACAGCTTTGAAATTTTCTTAGTAGCAGGCTGCTAAGGGTAGTTCTTGATTTCTACTATTTGTAGATTAAAAACATCACTGCTACAGTGCTGTTTGATGGGTGGCATGGACCATGAGTATTCACTCCCATGGGAAGGCATTTTGGAAATCTGGAGTCCTGAAAGGAAATTACATTTTTATTTTTTGAAAAGTTTTCTTTGATCACTTCAAAATAGCTTGGTTTATACTGTTTTGAGAATTAATGCCTTCAATTATTATTATTTTTATGAAGGATAAGTATTTCCTGTCTGGAAGGATGCTCTGTGGATATTCTATCATTCAAGAATCCTCCAAAGCCCATAGCGTCAATTATCAAATCTGTATTAATCCCTTCTGGGACTTCATGTCGGTTTTGTGACTCCATTCCAATACTCAGGTAGGTATTGCCCAGAGATTATCGTCTGTAGGAGCAGAAACTGCTGCCTGTGGTTGAGGGGAGAAGCTCCCAGCTCTTGCTAAACTCACGGGGCTGGTGCCGTAGATGCTCTGGGCTTGTGCAGCTGACGAACGTGCCAGGACGGAGGGGCAGGGATGTCTGCAGAGCTGTTAACACAGAGCAGAGGGCTGAGGAGAATCTGGACTGAAAATGGAGATTCTGCCTAACGGGACTTGTAAGCTCTGCGGGGGTGTTTCTTCTGATAAAGCTTCCATATGGTACTCAATTCTGGCAGCTCATCTTTGCCTGTTTGGAGACTGGATCCTCAATATGACTTCCTTCTGCTTTCTGGTACTGGCTACCTACTGCCTGCTGAAACTCCCACTACACATACATATAGAAACCATGCCATATTATTGCTATATCAATTACTACTGATTTTTGCAACCACATTTGTGGGGTTAGTTTGTCTCAGAATAATCTCATCTGCTACAAATATAGAAAACAAAAATACATATATTCAGCTTTTAAAATAGTAATTATCGAGTAATTATTTTAAATAAAAAAACCCTGATATATTTCAGGTTTTTAGAATTTTATTTCTAAAGGAAAACTTCAGATAAGGAGTAAAAGTGAAATTAAAAACAATGTTAAAATGTTAATACAGAAATAATAAATAGTTGAAAGTCCTCCAAACATGGAAACGTAAATGCTAAAAACCAAAAGTGGAAAAATGAATGCCAGCTTTGTTTAAGATTCAAGAAACCTCAAAGACTGTTTTCCAACATTGAGTTAAATCCTGGTTCTAGTGGCATATGAGGGTGTTTTTGCCACTGCAATCTGCAGAATGAGGATTCTAGTTCCTGACTCTCTCTGTCCACAAGTTCTCACCTGCTTTTCTTATATACATATAAATGCAAGCTCTTACAGGGATAATCACCAGTGTAAGTCACTGTAAAATCAAAAGCTCCCAAAAGAAGCAACAAAATGGTGGACCCTCTGTTGCCAGCTGCAAGGGGTCAGATGTCAAAATAACTTCAAAAAACACGGGTAGGGTGGTTTCCATTTAATGTAATGGCGGTTAAAGAAGGCTAGCTTATCAGTTTTCTCTCTATCAGCTAACTCCGATAGGCTACATCTGTAGCACTGAACTGAGGACCAGTGCTGTGTTTCTAAAAATTTAGTGCATGCCTTGGCTGGATCCTAACTGTATCAAGACCAGGCACACATCAGCCTCCTCCACTTCTTGTCAAAGGTCCAACTGAGATGAGCCTGGAGTAGAGGGGGGTGGAAAGACCACTCTGGCACTCCACTGGGGTCCTGAGCTGTGTGATGTACCTCAGGATGCACCTGCAGCAAACAAGAGTAGCTGTAACTGTTTGTGCTGCAGGGTTTATTAATATTTTCCTATATATAGCTGTGTTCTTTATCAAAAATGGAAGATATCTCTTGACCTTTTGCTGGTGATGGACCAGAAACTTTTGTGAGCTATTCATCATGTCACTGTCCGATACCTGCTGCACAGAGAGGACTGATTGAGAATTACGTATATCAAGGCTTGACAAAATACTACAGCATTGCAGTTCACAGCTTCATTTAATGATGTTTCACTGAATCATTTAACAAAAATAAGATTGCAAGATGAAGTTTGACATGAGTACATCTACAGCCACCAGCATAACTGATACCAGAAGTTTAGAATTGCAGTATTTTCATTTTCTATCTTTGAAATAATCCATTTTTTTCAAATCTTAATTGTGAATTTCCTGAATTGACTTATTAAGATTTGTAATTTTTTTAAACCAATAGCTATACACATACATACATACATAAACCCCTACAATTTCATAGTAACTGCTCTTTTGAAAAAGAAAAAATCTAATAAGGACCAAAGTGGGAATACAGCTTGTTTCCTAGTTAACATCCATTAGTATATTCCCCAGGAATGAGGGAGACATATAGACATTTAAACAGGTGATTTCTCCAGCATTGTCTTAGCACCTTGTGGAACACTTGGTATTATTTAAGCAGCATGAAATCTTCAGATGTGTAGAAGCTGCAAAAGAAAGACAGTGCAAAGGGAATGCAGGCAGAAGAATACTGAAACTCTGCCTTTCTAGGACCCTACATCAGTATATGTGGCCCGAAAGGGACTGCATCTGTCTGAAATGCATAGTTCATGCCTAAAGACCAAATATTTTTTGGTCCTCTGCACTTAGGAATGAGCACAGAGCACCATGCTTTGGCTTGTGTGCTTCTTCAGCGATTTAGCTTTAGAGCCAGAGATAATCCTTTGGGAAAACACCTTTAGCACTTCCCACTTTTTGGTCTGTTAGGTGATGATCATCACAGCTAGTCAAGTCCAATCTTATGTATAATTTTTCCTTTCCCATGTGAACAGATTTATAACTAAATGCTATTAAAAGTCTGAAGAATTCCAGACTAGAAGGAAAATCAGAACCAGCCCAATCAGTCCAAACACTACTATTTTCTGCAAAGAGCATGTGTGTATTCACGCATGCACATTTCAGAAAGCAAGCAAGCAATAAAACTCTATTAATGTACAGATGGAAGTTTATATTGATTTCAGCAAAGACCAGAACAAAATGGTAACATGAATAACAGATAATAGCATCTGGCACTTTTAACATTTTTAAGCCCTGAAATCTTTGGAGAACTGACAGTTGAACTAACTGACAGCTCTAGTTATTTCTCAGTGCTTTCCTTTTGGAGAGATTTTGAGCTTTTTCCAAATTCAGATTTTTTTTTTTTAAGGGGGCATCTGGACAGGCTATTTTGCTGAGAGAGAGAGAGACAATATTTTCTGGAAATTACCACCAAAATTAAGCAACTGTTGTGCATATGAACCAGATAACAATGAATTAGAAATAGATATAATCAGTCATTTTCTTTGCGTGAGGATAACTGCCAGTCTTCGATGTACAAAACAAAGCCTCTGGCCCTGGGATCACTGGACATGTCAATGCTCCCTGGGATGGCAAAAGCTCACAGCAGAGGTCTGGGGCCAGATCCTTGATTAAGGACAAACTGCACAGTGTCAAAGCACCGAGTGCAAGGGGCAAGAATGCCTGAACGCGGATCTTTATGTCCTGTCGGGTAGTCGGCTGATGCCTCCAGCTCCCTGTGAGGGAGAGGGAAGCAGCTAGCCACCCAGTGAGGCCTTCCAAAAGTTGAGCAGGCATTGGGGGGGCTGCGGAGGTGCTCCTGCCATGGCTTTTTCGCTGATCTGCGGTGGCAGCAGGGAGGAGGAGCAGCAGGACAGGCCCCTTGCCAAGTCTGCGACACCGATTGATCCCCTGCAGCAAGGCGGTTCTCTCAAAGCTGGATGTGCTTGCACATTATGCGGCATGAATGGGGAAGAGCCTGAGCCCTCAGCCTGCCACCTCGTGTGAAACCCGCTCCAAAACCCTGATACAGGGATCCTGCTCTCATTGCTGAGGTAAGGAGCATCATCAGCCCCACAGAGGTGACGACAAAGTGCTCTTCAAGACAACCCAGCCTCCAAGAAATGATCCAGCGTGGTGCAAACTGTCTCAGAGGTGTCATTATGACAGGTCTCTACCCAGTGCTGACAGATTTTTTTCTTCACACAGCTGAACCATCTTTTATTTTCAGGTACTTTTGGAACTGGAAGCCTGGATCCCTAACCTCAGTCCTAAATAGATTTAACCCTATCTATGTCTTCTTGAAGTGCCAGTTTTGATATCTGAACAAAAGATAATTTTGTAATAAATATAATGTTCAAATGTTATTATTTGATATATAAAACCAAATAGGGAGGAAATGTATTTGAATAAAAACTCCAAATTGGGAGATTTTTCTGTTTCAGAAAGCTATCACTCAGGTTTGCCTATGTTAATTACCAAGATTTTACCTAATTAGCCTTTAAAGGTGCTGTTGGTCCCTTCCTGATTTAAGAAAAATGCAAGCAATCCATATTCTGACAGTCAGGCTCAAGAGAAAAAAATAAAACCAAACTTGCCAGCAAAATAAAAGAACAGGAAAGAAAGACAAAGAAAGGAGACTATGCTGCCATGTTGCCAGGTAGGATAAAAGGTAGGATAAAAAGACATGAAAAAGCAAAACAGAAACAAAACCAAAATCAAGACAATTATCAGCTTGGAAGTGGCAGTCTAGAAGATTAGCCATACAAGTTGGAAAGTTACTAAATAAAAATATTTGCTGAAATTGTAGTTGCTCATCTTTGTTCCTGCAACTGCAGTTTCAAGTTTGGGCTTTTACATTTCCCAGGACAGGCTGAAAAGGCAAATCACTTTTTTATACTCATCTAGTTTTTCTATGCTGTTTCATTATGGGATAAAAAATATCACAATTGGTGGAAAGTATGTACATACCCTCTTGTGCTACTTGTAACCAAACCCTTCAGGAATGAATTCCTAAAAAATTTTTATTTCTGAATTTGTGCTCTCAGACTAACTTCTGGACCACTAGACTCACTTGTGAGATCAAAGACTCACTGGCAGAGATTTCTTGAAGTATGTTAAACGTAAAATAAAAAGTTTTCCATTGAAAGAATATTGCAGGCAAGGTCTAAGTATATGTTTAAATACTTAGATAATGAGTTATCTAGAATTACAAAGAGTTGGTGTGGAAAAATTACTTTAAGTTTCAGCACAAAACAACTGTCTTTTTTTCTTTTCTTTTCTTTTCTTTCTTTTTTTGAGTGATCCCTAAGTCATTTGGGTGTGTGTGCTACAGGACTGAGCTATTAGGAAGAAAATTTTAAAAAACGTCTCTAGTTGTGAATAGCTTTGATTTCCTTATCTTAGAGACTTCACAACCCATACTGAAATCAACAGTTGTTTGTTTTCAACCCCTGAAAGTAGGGTCTGAGAAAAAGATTTTTCAAAGTGAGTAGTGATTTTTTATGCCACATCTGAGAGGGCATTAAAGCCAACTCAATGTTCACAGATCTCTACCTGTGCAAATTGATTCCCTTTAAACTGCACTAGATTGGTCATCATATGGCCACTCATCCAAGGGAAATTGTCACTCAGAAACTGAAAAAATACCTCTTTTTCTTCTTCTTTCCTGACATGGGTCTTGCTGTAGTTGATTGGTGTATCCCAGCCTTCCTGTTCACAAAGAGCCTGGTAGAAGGCTGCATTTACCAGGATGCTGCTTGTTTTGAAAGGAGAAGAGGAAGGAGTGGAAATTGCTGTGCTGGAAGAAGTGAGAGGCATAACTTTGTCTTGGCTTCGGTTCTTTTTCATGCTCAAATCCAGAGTGCCATTTTCATCCACTTCTATCTCAGCTCCCTGACATGCAACAGGAAACAGAGACATGTTTAACTATGGACATGGTGAGGCTGCAACATAACCATGTGGTGCTTTTAAAGGATAAATATAAATGCATGCTTTTATTTAAATTTATCTGAATGTAAAACCAGCTTTTCGATTTATATCAGTTAATGTCCAACTCTTAGGCAGACTTAAAAGTAGCTTCAGTAATGGTATCCCTGCATCTCAGCTTAAACATAGTAAGCAGAATTTAAATAAGATGCTTCTAAACCATAACCTATACACCCTAAATCTAGTTTTATTTAAAAAAAGTTTAGCTTTAAATCTTCTTGATCTCTTCACTCTTACAGAGAACTATGACCCCAATTCACAGTTAAAAGCATTAATGCATTGTTTAGGTCATCAACAGCATTACTATTACATATCCTCCCTTCCCCCCACACCCCGGAAATATTACAACATCTGCATCATGGGGGAGAGAAGGAGGGGGGAAGAAGTATGCCTAAAAGTAGCACAATAGGAAAAAAATTCACTAGGGTTTTGTACCTCACTCAAAATAATGTATTGCCTTAACCATAGTTTGCCTAAGCCACTAAGGCACAGGTCTGCACTGAGACCACTAGACTGGGAGCCACAGGAGGATTTTTAGGAGGTTCTCCCTGATGGAGACCTTCAGCACGAGTTAACAAAGCCTTTGCTACCTGGGAAGTACAGCAAAGGGCAGCCTCTGATTGCAGGGGTGTGTGCAGTCTGGGGAGAGACCCAACTTCTCTTTCCAGGCCAGGAGAAGCTCTCAGAGCAGCTCCTGCTCACAAGAAGGGGCAAGTGCTGCTCAGCTGTACAAGAAGAACGAAAGAAGGAAAGCTCACTGTCCTGCCTTACCCTGTCTGACCACAGAAAAAGAGTACAAACGCTCTTCTTGGAATGATGAAAAGCTCCTGAAAGTGCAACTTACTAGTGGAAGCAACAAAAAATTTCCCCTCATGCTCCATACGCAGCACTGCATATGGACATATTGTGTATATAAGGATGAGTATAAGACTAGTCCTTGCTATTGCCAGCAATTACTAAAGTCAAGTAGGGGAAGAGATGAAAGAGGTGGCTTCTAGAGGAGCACTTGGTAGTCTCGTTCTGTGTGTTGCCTTGAATAAGGTGGAAAACATTCAAAGACTGTAGAGATAAATAACAACGCCATAGATCTACACATGTAGAATGCTGTAATTAGCATTGCTCTGTGTCTTCCTGTTATTGTCATCACCACAAAGCTCAGATACCACTTGGGAATTTGGGACTAGATGTGTTAGATGCTGTATAACTGTAGGAGACAGTCGTATAAGCCCAGATTGAGACTTCCTACCTCAAGTAATATAAAAGTAAACCCGTAGCATAAGTGAATCACCTAGACACTCTGTTGTAAGTGGAAAAGAGGCAGGTATGTCCAGGGGGCAAGTTTTTCCATCTTCCTTAGACCTCTTCCTTAGGAAGAGGTGAGACACTGGCAGAAAGAGTCCCTTTCTCTTTCTTCCCATTAACTATTGCTGGAGTTTGATGATTAGTCAACCATTTAATGGTTAAAGATAGGGCAGTGAAACTTATCCTTGCTTGAGGATCTTAAAAACAGTTGTGGCGAAACAGGGAATTCTTCCCCTGTAGTGAAAGTGTGACATGGCCACCCCGGTTGGACTGAAGGCACAAGCTTCCTTCGTGCATGTCTTCTACCACTGCCAGTGGTGACTCATTTAAAGGTAAAATGCATCTGATGAAATCTTTTTAATCAGAAGGAAAATGTTGGTAGGAGTTGAAAATTTAGGGCCCAGCGATCTCTTCTCACTCAGGCATCCTGACTCCATTTTGTATCCATGGGCCTCAGACAGATGCCCGCCTAGACTGAAGCACTACCAAGCCATCTGCTTGCCCCCGGTTCAGAAACTCAGGCACCTCTTATGTTTGTTTCTCCTGCATAGCAAAGTTCACATTTTCAATCATACAGCTTAAAGAGAGAAATGTTTTATTATATTTATGGGAAGTAAATACACTTCTAATATGTTCATACTAAGATGCTTTGGTTATATCTTTCTGCCCCTTTTTAGTAAACAGTTTAATCTCCTGTGATAGTTTTAAGCCCTGAATTTGACAGTGCAGCTTATCCTGGATAATAACTTAGTAACCACAACATCTTATGCCATCTGTATAATATCAAATACATTTTTATACCAGCATTAATAAACCTTAGTTACAAAAATCCAAGATATTAACTATATCAGTGCCAAGCGCACACTCCAGGATCTGACAATATAGCTCTGCCATGATTGCCCCAGTGTTTTTTGGCTTCATAATTGCTATGTAACTATAGCAATGAAACAGAGCTACAGTAATCAAGTTTAATGACCAATGTAAAGTAAAATGCTAAATATTGTAGTTGCTGACATTTTTCATAATAAAAAAACTTGGGTTAAGTCTGCACAACCAACATTCACATAAAATTCCAGACCTCTGTGACAGATGGCTTAGGAAAGGAAGCCATGTGACTGGGCTGCAGTAGTTTTATAGTGCAAAACCCATAAATAGTGCAGATTCTCTGTCACTAACAAAATATCAACTACTCAGAAGGCAACAGTGACAACAAAAAGGACCAAAATCAATCACCTCCTCGGTGAAAGTGTACGTAGAAAAATATCAGGAAACATATTGTCTCTGGGAAACAGATACCATTAGCCACAGCAAGGAGCTCTGGCTGATTTACTAACATGGATTTAGAACATTTACTAACATGGATATTTAAAGCTTCCTCAGCACTTTCCTGAAATTCACGTAGAAGTTGGGTTGTCCAACATGCACCCAATTCTGCTCAGGGAAGGCTGGGTTGTGTGTTTGTGAAGTAGCGTACAGATGGGGTTTAAGTGAGCTCACAGATGCACGCAACAATTAAATATAGTCATGGAAAAAATATCCCCTTTTGCCCATCGCAGGATGGATTACACGTTTACAGCATAGCTTTTTATTCAGAATGTTATAAAAGAGCTATCACTTTGCTGCCTTCATAGCAAACTCCAAATGGCAGAGCAAAAAGAGAGGATAGTCAGAGATATTGCTCCAGTTTTCATTCCTACTCTCATCCCACCCTCCTCTCAATATGTCTCCTTTGCTTGTTTTACCATGTTTATTTTTACATTAATTTTAAAATGGAACTAAAAAGACAAAAATGGCAAATGGCAAAAAATGCTAGAGCAGTGCTATGACATGCTGACAGAAAATGGCACTTACTATGGTTAGCTCAGACTTGTAAAGGCTGTGTTCTCCTCAGTGAAGGCAAGATCTTATTACTGTCAACTTTAGTGTGTGTGTGAACAGGCCTGTATTTATCCATTTACCATGACATATTTAAAATATAGCTGCAAAAACAACGTCAACTGTGCTGATTCTTCCTTAAAAATGTAAGCAAAATAAAGATGTAAATGTATCTTATTATTTCCTAACTTATATTATTTTGCAGCTTTGTAAATCTTTGGAGCCTGATTTTGATCTTATTTACATTTACATTTACATTTACATTTACATTAACAGTGGTGTAAACCAGGAAAAAATCCACTGAAACAATGAAGAAAAAGCAACAAGGGTGAGAGGATACACATGGTAATTAAATTCAGGTTACTCCTTATCTACGCCCACATCAGTGACAGCATAGTCAGCCCCACAGGTTTTACAAGCAGCTGGAAAAAGGACTCCAGAATAAAAAATGAGAGAAAAATGACTGACGCATATTTTCTTTACTCCAGGATCTATTCAGTGAAAAGATAAGGTACAAGTGGTACTCTACTATGAATATCTAAAATGAAGTCTAGTATAAATATGTAAACAAAAAAATGGTCTCTATCGTCTTCAAGTGCTTTGTATTTTAAAGTCAAGCTCTTTCAGCCTCCTTTATCTTATGGCATAAATATTACAGAATATTTTCTAGTACATTATTAAGTCTTGTCCTTAGAACTGAACTACATCAGCTAGGACAATAAAGGATGTTGTTTTTTATGATAAATTACTCCTGCTTTTTTTCATACACTTTTGGTCCATCTGATCACTCACAACATTTAATACTCTGCAGTGTTTCTCCAGTAACGATTACAAGTTAAGCTTTATCTCATACCTGGATCAGAAAGAGTGAATTATTGTGTCTGCATGAATCTTATTTGAAACCTGACCTTAGGGAGATTGTATCATTACATACAAAGGGGTTTTACGTATTCTTTTGTTGGCATCAGCTGTACAACTTAATACTAAGTAAGTCCAAAGAAACAACACTATCAATGATTTTGCATTCCCACTAGCAGTTCAGTCTGGTTTGGAAAGCTCAAAAGGGCTCTTCAGTTCTGGTATTGGGAGTATCTCTGGAACTAGTATGTTGCCATATGTATGAATACAATTCTTAATGCAACTCCATCCAAGAGAGTACAATCTTTTCTGTTCCCAAACAATAAAAACACATGCACATAGTCCTCAATGCTTCAGACTTAAATTTAAGCAATTGAGTTCTTCTGCAGCAAACTAAAATACTAATTTGGGTTCAAAATAAGAAAATTTGTAACTGCCCAGCAACATCTGAGACACAAATGAAGTCACAATTTCAGCTCAGAGCAATTCTCAAATTAAAAAAAGGCAGCCAAGAATGTACTCAAGGAGCAGTATGCACAGCAGTGTAACAGGATGGTACCTAGTGATATTCTTGGCTGATTTTTCATCTGTATTTAGGCTTTAAGGTATTTGGAGTAAAGGACTGCCTGACAAACATGCTGAGTACTAACTACATTGTTGAAATAATTGATGTAATTATCACCATCATCAATATCCAAGAATGGAGAGATGACATAGTTTTGTTCAAAAACAGAATTTGAACTTTAAACATTTTTAGCAAGTGTCATTTTTTGTTTTCTTTCAAGTCATAGTGTGCATATGCCATTTTGTCTAAACAGGTGGGAAAACCACCAAAACAGTCAACAAAATATTTGGCAAGCAGTAGTGATGAGGATACAGATAAACTGTATTGCTTGCAGCTACCTCTCTGAGACGTGAATGTGGTGAGGGCTGTAAACAGGGAAGATCCCTGCATGTTATGATGATGTATACCTTGCACTGTGCTAGAAACTGCAGGCTAAGCCTTCTAGGGGAGTCCTTCTGTTTACTTCAGTGGGAGTTGAATGAAGCTACGTAAGGTGCAAATCAAACGGAGACCAGGAGACTGGTTTGGGGTACAGACCACATGAGAATTGGCTGATCAGGATTATATTCAGGGAACAGTTTACTACAGTCCCAGGTGTCTGCACCTGTGGGATTGAATGGCTCAGACAATGTAACATTAATGTGGTATTAATTATTTTTTTGAAAAGTATCACCAAGGTATCTGATGATCTTAGCATTTTGTATGCAGCTGATAAGTAATTCACAGAGAAAGCTTAGGATCCATTTTACTGCCCATTTCAGAATAAATTTATTCTTTCAATTGCTTAATTTATAAATTCAGAATTTTAATCTAGAAGTATTTGGCGGATCACCTTTGTACATTAGATCTTTTTGTAAAGTTTTCCTTACCAACGGTACTGCTAATATGTAATCTGATTTCTCTACTCCCACTATCCTTCTCTCCCTTCTTTTGGCTTAGACTCTCCCTTTTGAACTAATATGTAGAGAATGTGAGATACATATCTGAAAATCCATTAAATTTATGAAATTTGGAACTGTGCTGTAAAAAATACTCACTTTTCATTTAAGTGTTATCTATATTTACAGAAAAGTGGTGAACGTTCAAGGTAAAACATCCAACTATTAAAAAATGGACAACACTCTGGAGGTCAAGAAATAAAATTTGAGAGACAGAAAGAAAAAAAATTACTTCAGGAATACACTTGTGCTAAACAATGTTTTGGAGTTCTCCCCACCTGTTTAAGCAAGGCAACGTATGCATGCCTTGAGCGAATACAAGAAAATGACACTTGCTTGAAATGTTTGAAGTACAAGTTGTGCTTTTAAAACTTAGAAACACAATGGTTTTACAGCTCTGACAATTGTGTAACTTGCAAAGGATTTACTGCAAGTCCAGGAAATCCTCTGCAGCCCCAATGGCCCTGCCTCTACCACCACGCTGTCTCCCACCCGCAAAGCGTCATGGCTTGGATTGCTGGGAGGCTGCCTGATGCTCACATAAGAGCAAACACCTTTACAAGTCAGCAGCTTTGATCTGCTAAAGTATGGATGATGCTAATCAGGTTTTCTTAGGCAAAGGAACAAAGGAATGTGGCAAGGGGCAGGGCTGAGAGGTCTGATACTATGGGGCTCTGAACACAGCCACCCCACACAGGTATTTTCAGACCTGGTGAATGTGTGCGCTATCACGAGTAGTAAAAGGAAATCATTAACTCTGTAGTCATCTGTTGATGCTGCATTATTTGAGTCCAAACACTGGTAAAGCCTCAAGAGATGTTTTTTATGATCAAAAAATATGTAAGATATTCTAACAGTTAAACATTTACCTTTGCGGCCAATACCAGCTACAAAACAATTCAGAAACATTGATAGCTAGACAGAAACTAGCCTTATTTTTTGCTTCATATTTTAAAATAATAAAGCATCTTCATTGAAGAGAGTCTAGAGATTTATTTCCACAATTTTTTGTTTGAGTCCTGAATGATAAAAGTAATAAATAGCCAAAACCAAATAAAAATGGGTTTTGTGTGGTTTTGGCAACCAAATCTGTTTGGGGCTTACTTGCCTGTGTTCTGGCCAGAAGCTAATTCTGATTCTTGTGTCAGATGTTTTGTAGCAGTATGCCCTCCAGAAAGTCTGGCAAAAGTGGAGGCAGGCAGATAGCAAGGTATGCAGGTGATTTTCTTTTAGGCTGGATTCCTGGCTGTGAAAGAGGAGGAAGCTATGTGCCCCAAGTGTCCCTCCATATCGTTACTATTATGTTCACTTCCATTCAAACCTTCCTCATGATTTGGCAACTGTGAAGCAGGTACAGAGGAGAAAATCTTTGGGTTATGCCTGGTCCCTTTACTGCTCTTCTCTGGCAAGAAGGTCTATTGCTGAGGTCAGCCAAAGGCTGCGGCAGCAATTTAATCCAGCCATTGGCATCGGTTTCCATTTCCCTGCTATAAGAAGTCTCTATTGAAGACCAGCGGAAGGAGCTTTCTGCAGCATGTATCAGGGATGGATCTGTCATCTGGAAAAGGTTCCATGAGCAATCTTTGGGACAGATAATGTCTGTGTTATGGGGGATGCATGTGGACACACTCTACACACCCCCAGACTCTGGGGCATCTCACAACATTGGCTTCAAGATCCAAGACTTCACAAGTGGAAATCAATGGCAGCAAAGTAGAGGATACCACTCTGCAAAGGAGCAAGGCTTGGAATACCTAACAAGGTGTTATGCTGATGGTAAAACAAGTATTCCCCTCAAAGAATAACAGCTAACCTCTTAGCAATGGTGAATGAAGACCCAACCAAATTGTAAAGCAACAGCTGTGGAAGCCACCTCTAGCCAGACTGAGCCTGATGCTACAATAGACAAGGTAGAGCGACACTGACTTGCAGAGAAATAGGTCAGCTGCCTTTTGGAGCGCACATCATGACTCAAAGTCCCACAGCAGAAACACACCTGCTACTTTGTGTTTTGATAAATCTACCTCTTTTCACTCCCCGATGATTTCTTCTCAAGTTCTTCTAATGGTACCCACTCATCTACACAGAGCTCTCAAAAGTTTCATTGCAGTGGAGCATGTCTGACTTTAATACAAATAATAAAACAACAGTGCTCCCACAACTACGGTCATCAGAAGAAAATCTTGTCTGTTTTCATCAGCAGTATAATACTATATAATGGCACAGAAAATAAGGCTCATAGCTCACACAGTACCATTTGTAAATCATAAAGATATGTGAGGAAACGCAGAGCAGAAACCAAAACATGAAAGCCACACAAACATCTATGATATTAGGCAGCTTTCCATTATGACAGACTTGCACAAATTATCTGTCTCCAACCGCTGTGGGCCTGATTCTCCTCTCTTGCCAGCAGAAAGGAGAATTTTACCAAAATCAGTTGTTATTTCCCTCCCTACACCTTGTCAAACTGTCATGAGCTCCAAAGACAACAGACTCAATAGGTGTAGTTCTGTTCCATTGCTAGCAAATTATCACCTTGATTAATCACATGATTTTTTTTTTTTTAATCAGCCGCCAAAATGATCGCTTATGGCAGCTTTCAGAGGGAGGAAAATTCCCTCTTTAAACAGATCTAACTCATTATCCATCACAGATTGTTGCTGGATTTCAAATATCCTTCTTTTTTTCCTCCCACAAAACTCCCCCCTTGTATTTAGGGCTCAATTATGAAAAGAGTAACAACATAATCCTGCTATTTATTTATTTTTATCAGAACTGGTCACTACATTACTGATTTTTTCTCTGTCTCTCATGCAAACAGAAGCCTCCTTTTTGGGGATTTAATGCAGTCACTAACATGAAAGACAGTTTATTCGCACAGTTCAGTAGCTAGCACACCCTCCAGGTTCTTGGACTACCCTACCTTGGCAGACAGACTCTGTGGTTTGTTGGAGAGGATCTCTGCTGCTTCCCTGCAGCGGGTGGAAAGGTTCAGGATAGCAGCAGCTGCTGCTATGTGGGTGTCTTCACTACATTGACCGTAGCTATAAGAGTTGGCATGGCAAGGGCTCTGTGTGTGGGCGCTAGCACTAGGCAGTCGATTAGAAAATTTCACTGGATTTGAAAAATGCTTTGCTGTTGAAGAGAGATTTGATTAGCAATTGCACGTATGAGATTTTTCCCATTAAATAGTTTTGTTTCTCAGACTACAGTTTCATACATTAAAATATTCAAAGAATACATTTTAAACAATCCATTTCCTATTGGCAGTAGGGGTTTGCTGTAAAAATGGCTTCGGAAACATGATAATTTAATATTTACCCAACAAATAAACATCTTTCAACAAAGCATCTAAGACTTTTACTCAGATTTCACTCATTCTTTACTCAGGCATTAAAAGCAGTGATGTCCAAGGAAAGACTGAACAAGCGTTAGTGTGTTATCCATCATGACCTGATGACACTGGTGGGCAAATGCAATTGTAAATGTACCCTTATGAAGGCTTCCTCTTGGAGCTCTATTGTGTAAAAAAACAACAGTGACTTGTCCAGTCTTAGCTAAAACAACACTGCTTACCCTACTTAAATGAATAAGTCTTTTATTTAAATAGCTTTGCTTATGTGAGTAAGGAGAACAAGACCAGGCTCTTGAATGAACTGGAGCAATCGGATAAGAACACTATCTGTTAGGAATATTCAGTACTGATTTTGTGGAAATTTTTAGAAATTTAAGTCTACCCTTTAATCAATTAAAAAAAAAAAAAAAAGACAATGAGCCTTCAGAATAAAACTGATCTTAGCTCACTGTCTTATGTTGGCTATCTTTTGGAATACTACACAGATTTACTAGGCACAAAGAGGTCCGTTGAGAATGAAAAACTAACAGGTGAACAGAAAAGCACTTTCACAGACAAAAGTGGTGTGTGTGGTTCTTTGATTTCTGCTCCATCAGCAGCACTTGCTCTAAAACAGGTAGAAAGAACTCTGCTCCCTGTTATGGATTTTGGAGCTTGAGATGTCATTAACTGTTGCAGGGAAAACACAGTACCATGATCTCAGCTCTTAGTAAGCAATAATTGCTTCTTTTGTCTGTGGATTTCACAGTGTCCTACAAAGATAAACTAAGCAAAATCCAATTTCTCAGCCTACACCCAGATACACCAAGAACATGTCTGCGTATGGCCATCTGCTTGCTCCATAAAGATCTGAGCCCCAAGGCACTGGATCCCTTTGGATGTAGAGCTTTGGCTAAGTGCATTTTAATGCTAAGACCTACACAAGACATTGAAGAACTCATCTTTCCTCAAACCTGGGATGCTCTAAGAGAAATGCTTGTATGTGTGCACTGACTGTAGCTGAATGCCATATTCAGTTTTCTAAGTACCGGAGGCATCTCAGTAGAGCAATACATAAAAGCCTCATGATTCAGTTCTCCCTTTCTCCAGTGCAAATGAAAAAGGATTTATCTATCCTGCTGTAAAACTATAGCACAAGCAAGAGGGTCTACATTTTTAGCAGTCACTACAGCTAACTTCAAGTTATTAAAGAGCAAAAAAGTGCATTTTCCATTACTCACCCTAAAAGATTAAAAAAAAATAAAAAGCAGGCTCTGAAGGGTTCATGTTTTGTTAACAAATCGAGTTTATAAGTGCAGAATCCACAGAGGGCTAAAGATGGGCTTTTGGCTAGCTACATGTTTACATAGGACGCTGAACCAATCACTACATCATCAGCTTCTTATTGCCAACTTTTGTATATTTGCATAGTTAAAGCACTCACCTGCTCTTTTACTTTCAGCTTTCCGTTAAAATAATAACTGCACACTGCAATCTTTGCAAGAACAACAGGCTGTAAACTTCAACCCTGATATACATTATACATAAATTGCATATGTATGGATTTGCATTTGTATAAAAACATTTAAATAATTTTTTCCTTGAAATGAACCTGTGAAATAGACATACATCTATGCAAAGAGACAGCTAATAGGGAATATTCAATTTTACAAACAAAATTGGAAAATCTGCCTCCCAAGAAGCTGGCAATGCACATATTTTCTTTCATTTAAACAGGCTTATTCTCCAGACCAGATAAATATCTACTTTTCATTTGCAATTTTAAATAGAGTATTTATATATATATATATACAAACACATAGATACCTACAAACATATATATATGTGTACTCAGATACATACACAAATATATAAATATAC